CCATATGGTCAGTTTTAGACCGACTGGAGTGACAGTGTATTATCGATTTCTATTTATTCCTCAAATTAGGCTATTTACAGTGGTGTGCAGTAATACGAATCTATTGTGTGTATGCTGGAATTTGGCCTTGAAAAATATTGTGTCATCCATGATTGCATCAGATTTTCATCACGCCAAAACACTATTGTCTCGACTGTCAATTAGTTGTCCTACAGCCATTGTCTGCGATGGACATTACTCCAAGGATGCGTACGAAAATTGTAACGCTGCAGGAACACACTGGCAAGCATTACTAGTGAGCAAATCAAAGATTGACCCCGAAACTCTCCTGATTTAAATCCAATCAAGAATCTGTTGTTAGTCTGCAAGTAACGACCTCGTGGAATGGACACAAGAAGTACTAACATGTGCACTGGATCATGTTTCATTGAAAAATGCAAAAAAGTCAATAATAACGGAATTTTTCGTTTTGTTGCAATTAATTTGCACAAGGGTGTAGACGTTTAAGTCAAGATACCTCATTGAGTCTACAACTGTCATGACTGAAAAAAATTCAATATATTCTTAATAAGGATGGAAAGCTTCTAGCATGGTTGTGAACGTGCGGAATATTTACAACATCGACTGGTCTTAAACTCACGTTGGCTTTACACTGCATTTTCGATTTTTCTGAGCTTTCAAAATAATCAATCGATCGGACTTACATTAGTACTGAAAGCTTTACTTCTACTTTCTTTGTAATGCTTTCACCCACAAGCAAGGCAATAAAGTCACTAAGACGCAAGAGATTAATGAGAGTGAAATAATATGAGAAAAGGCATCATTAAGGAGAGTGGACAATTAAAGATAGCATTGCATCTACATTTTTGAAGATCGTAGTTGACAGGAAAGCAAGAAGCAGGAAGAAGGTTCCATAAGCGAGAAGTGCGAGAGAAGAAACTATTAGCATAGAACTTACGGTTACATCTAGAAATCTCAAATGTAAAATGATGAGACCTACCTGCCAATCTAGCACTTCGCTTAAATTCGTGAAGTCGAGGTATTAAATATCTCATCAGAAAAAAAATTACCTACAAATATTTATAGAAAAGACACAGGGAAGCCATTTTACGGTGTGGGGAAGTTGAAGAAGCCGAGATGCCAGGCCAGGATCGACAACATTGCAAATTCTTTTTGTGAACTAAAGACTAGTAACTTGTGCGCACAACGATAGCGTACATACCAGAATGACTGTTAAGGAACTGTGGACTGTCCCAGCCCATGAGTATATCTAGAAAAAAAATAACATCGAGACAGATATTTCAAAACGAATAAAACGGTCCCAACTAAACAGTAATAAGAGCTAAGTTCTTTTTTTCCTCATGAAAAAAACCCCAACAGAACAAGCAAAAGATGATTATCTTATACGCAACATCAGAAAAAAATTCGATATTGCTTCATCATTTTCCGTGTTTAGCGAATCCGTACAACTGTATTGATATAGGTTCATATGAAACCTTCTGGGAACATTGGACGTCTGGTGGCGTAATGGTTCTCAGTGCGGAAAATAGAATCAGCAGGCGGATTTCAAATTCCGTCTGGTCTGTTGCATTTACACCTCCGGGAAGGACATGACGTCATCTCTTCTCCCCTCCTTACCAGCTACTGATTAAATAGCAGGGTAGATTAGGATTTCTAGCCTAGGATGCCAATCAGCCTAGGAGAAGGGCAACACCGAATTCTAAATCGTAGCAAAGGAAACGTGGAGAGCCATTATCGCCTACTTCCAAAAGGCAAATGACATTTAGAACCGCGAAGAAGGCAACGGTAAACCACGCCGCTGTCCTTCCAAGGAAGGCATGGCAATTCTTAGATAATAAACTAATTCTCAAATCAAATAAACTAATTCTCAAATTCTCTCTCTCTCTATATATATATATATATATATATATATATATATATATATATATATATATATATATATATATATATATATATATATATATATATATATATATATATATATATATATATATATATATATATATATATATATATATATATATATATATATATATATTCGTCGAGTATGATTTGCTACCTTCCCCCATCACCGAGTCCGATTGGAACAGTTGGTATGACGTTTGCATGATAACGTAACTATCCGGGTTTCAATTCTCGGTAGTGAATGAGTTCCAAATATAGGACGAAACGTGCATTCTGTTGGGGTGTCTTCTAGACTCGGTGAATTACTTAATTATAATTATCTCAAATCTTCTTAATTTGTATCACTTATAAGATGTAACAGCAAAGTGGTTCAGATCGTGTAACACCATAATTATCCATCCCACAAAGTGTTTAATATAAAAAAAGCTAACAGAGTATCGTTTTTCTTTTAGTCATCTTGGAACTATTTGGCGCAAGAATCACTGAAAAACCCTTTGAATTATTCGGCTAGAAAGAGAGCAGGTTAAAATTGTTTGATTTTTTTTTTTCACGGCCACTGTCTTCCCAGCCGAGCAATAGTTAGAGGAAAAAGATCATTCATGCCTTTAGTAATGGTACCAACATTCATACTCTAGCTTCCATCTTCAAAGTCCGTTCAAGAACCATCAAAAGAACGGTGAATAAGTTTAAAAAAGAGGGAAAAGTAGAGAGGAAAACTGGATCAGGAGGTCACAACAGGAAAAGGGATCATTATTTCAACTTAAGGCTAAAGGGATTAATTAGAAAAGATCCAACTCAATTCATAAGACATTTGACACGTGAGAGTGGAGTTTCATCAAGGACAGTCCAAAGAACAATGAAAAAAGACCTGAAAATGAAATCGTATGTGAAAACTGTGAGCACCTTGTTACTCTAGGACAGAAAATAAGAAGGTTAAAGAGGGCGAAGATCATCTTAAATAAGGTGTAAAATGATCCAGGAATAGTATATATATATATATATATATATATATATATATATATATATATATATATTATTTGAACTTAATTTCAATTCCTCATGAGCTTCCGATCCTTAGCAATGATTAATTAATGATGAGCATCTCACTTTCGTTTTCGATTTCAACACGTTTCTTCTGTGAAGCTTGGAGAGTAATTATGAATTCATATTGAGTCCAATAATGTTATAAAAATCTTGAAAATTCCAGTAAGGTATCTTTAATTATATCTAAGATACAACGGTTCAGAGATTAATATAACAATTTGACAATTGTGGTGTTATACCCGGTGTATATATATATATATATATATATATATATATATATATATATATATATATATATATATATATATATATATATATATATATATATACACATATATATATGTGTGTGTGTGTGTGTGTGTGTGTGTGTGTGTGTGTGTGTGTGTGTGTGTGTGTGTGCGATTGAAATTGGCAAATTACGTTACTGAAATTGGAGCCAACAAATTACCGAAGCAATTATTTTAACGTCCGAAATACAAAAAAATAAGACGTTTTAAGGATGTTGTTTAAAAGTGTCAGTGTTTGGGTGTCAATCTGAGGAGAGTGCAGAGGATTTGGAAAGAGTTGGATGAGTCTAATGCTGATTACGAAGGTGTTTGGAGAGATCATGAGTGATGATGACGTTATGCCCCCATTCATCTTCCCACAGGGCCTCAGACTTAACACGGAGGCCTACGTCAAGTGGTGCACTGGGTCAAGAATATGGCTGCTAGAAGAGCCTGTGTCTGGCAACAGGACTCTGCACCATGCCACACAAGCAGGAGAAACCAATCAGGGCTGTCAGTCAATTTCTATGACCGCATCACCCCTTACATCTGGCCACCTCACTCCTCAGACTGCACCCTCTTGATTTTTATGTGTGGGGCGCAGTTGAGCAAGAGACCAACAAAACTCCTTGTGACATCAAAGATGAACTAAAGGCAAGGATTATGGCAGCATTCACCAGCTTAAACAATAAGACTATCCAAATGATTTGCAAGAGATTCCGAAGTTGTCTGGAGGCCATGGTTGAAGCCAATGGGGATTTTATTGAATGAATTTACTGTTTAGTATTTCAAAAAATTTTTGTGTAATTTTGGTAAATATATTTGTTATCTATGTTAGAGCGTATGAGGTACATGATATGAATTTCTCGGACGAGGAGTTATCATTATTTACATTCAGACTATTTTCCTCATCTTTGTTGTTGTTATCACTTGCTCACCTTCTGTGTGAATTTCTGGGGTGGGGAGTTATCATTATTTACATTCAGACTATTGTCCTCATCTTTGTTTTTATTATCACCTGATTGCCCTCTTTCTGAATTTATGAGGTGGGGAGTTATCATTATTTACATTCAGACTATTGTCCTCATCTTTGTTTTTATTATCACCTGATTGCCCTCTTTCTGAATTTATGAGGTGGGGAGTTATCATTTTTTACATTCAGACTATTGTCCTCATCTTTGTTTTTATTATCACCTGATTGCCCTATTTCTGAATTTATGAGGTGGGGAGTTATCATTATTTACATGCGGTCTATTGTACTGGTATTTATTGTCATTATCAATATGTTTCGGCTGTTAAGCTTCTTCAGGCGCTTGTCAATCCGGGTAACCTTTTGAGAATTTAGCTCAAAATTCCTTGAAGTTTACCCTACTCAACAAGCCCCAGATGACCGGAGAGCGCAACGGCTGAAACGTCATGATAATAACAACAAAGATAAGGACAACAGTCCGATTGTAAATAAGATGTACTTGAGTTGGTTGGTGAAACAAGTTTGGGTACTATAGTTAATCCAAGATGGATTTATGAAAAACCCCAGGGGATTAGATGATTCCATGTTGTTTAGGGGTAATGATTCCACCACCCCATAACAAAATTTGAAGGGGGAAAACATATTTAAAAACGCACTAAGAACTTAATCCCTAAACACAAAATAAATAATATATTCATTAAATATGGTTTCTTTTAATATGTATTGCAAAGATTTTATTATTGATTTAAAAAGTTGACAAAATATTAGTAAAGAAAATGGTAATAAATGCTCACCTATGACATCTTCATCGGTCTTTTGTGATATATTTTGTAGTGCCGAATGTGACGTACTTTGTGAAACGCTGTCCAAGATTTTATCGTCTGTTTTTTTCATTTTATTCTTTAACGTTTCCAGTTCTTCCTGAAAAATTATAACGAGGAAAAATATGTATATGTCTTTAAAATACAAAGATAAATTTGCTTGTTGACCTTTCTCCGATCTTAATGAAGTGAATTTTACGACTTGAAAAATGTTAACACGGTTTAGAATCTCAAGCGAATTTAGAAAGAATTACAAATCTCATACGAATTGCTTCGTGTCCACAAAAAGAACATTGTTTCAAAAGGAAGATTTCTCCATTAACACCGCTCTTACTCCATACAACGTTTATTTACAAGATTGTAAAAATATGTGAATCAAATACAGTGTGAGTTTTAGTATTTCTTTTCTTTCTTTTTATGTGCTGTGTCATTTCAGGACGTAGGTGATCATGGCTTTCCGCTTTCCCCTTTCCTTTGCAGCTCTGAACAAGTTCCGCCCCTCTGCCACCTCCCCACTGAACATGTTCTGTCATCCACTTGCTTAGGCTCGCCAGGTATGTCATGCGTTGTTTTCCCTTGTCTCTCTTTCCCTCTATTCGACCTGTGAGTATCATATTCTCCAGGCCTTCCTTCCTCATTATATGTCCCAGAAACTTCAGCTTCCTTTTCCTGATGTTAAGCACAAGCCTCCTCCTGGTTTGGATCCTCTCCAAGACTTCATCATTGCTCACACGCTCGGTCCATGATATCCTCAGCATCCTTCTGTAGAACCACATCTCCGTCACCTCGAGTCTTTTCTTCATCTTTGAGGAAATCGTCCAATATTCGCTGCCGTAAAAAAGGACAGATGTCACGTAACAGCTCAGTACTCTTTGTTACCAAAGAAATCCTCCTGTCTCGCAATACTCTGCCTAGCTTTTGGAATGTGTCCTTGGCCATCCCAATACGCCTATCTCAGTGTCGCACTTGCCGTCCTCTGTCAAAGCACTTCCCAGATATTTAAACATCCGCGTCTGCTTGATTCTAGTGTCCCCGACCCGCAAATCACATTTCGGGCTCATCCTTTTACTGATGACCAATGCATTTTGTCTTCTTGTAGTTAATGCTTAGTCCCTTCTTCTCGCTCTCCTTTGCTACCTTCTGTCGGGGGTTTTGCAATTTCTTTTCCGTGTCTGCTATCAGTACTGTGTTATCTGCGTATCTTATGTTGTTAAGATTGTGGCCGCCGATGCTGAATCCTGGTAGGATTTCCAATTCTCTCAGAATTGCCTCACTGTATTGGTTGAATAAGTCCGGTTTATTATTGACCATTTTATAAAGAAATAAATTTGAAAAGAAATTTGATTTTTCAAAAATTTATCAAAATCTACACAAGATTTATTACTTAGCATTTCGTAAATAAATAACTACGAAAAATTTTTTTTTATTCATAATTTTATAAAAATATCTATGAAGTATGGAACAAGAAAATTTAAATAAACATGATTTTTCCGGATGTCATACATTTAAATAAATATGATTTTCCGGATGTCATGCATTTAAATAAATATGATTTTTCCGGATGTTATACATTTAAATAAATATGATTTTTCCGGATGTTATACATTTAAATAAATATGGTCTTTCTGGATGTCATACATTTAAATAAATATGATTTTTCCGGATGTTATACATTTAAATAAATATGATTTTTCCGGATGTTATACATATAAATAAATATGATTTTCCGGATGTCATACATTTAAATAAATATGATTTTTTCGGATGTTATACATTTAAATAAACTTGATTTTTCCGGATGTTATACATTTAAATAAATATGATTTTCCGGATTTCATACATTTAAATAAACATGATTTTCCGTTTGTCATACATTTAAATAAGTATGATTTTTCCGGGTGTTATACATTCACACAAATATGATTTTTCCGGGTGTTATACATTTAAATAAATATGATTTTTCCGGATGTCATACATTTAAATAAACATGATTTTTCAGAATGTCATACATTTAAATAAACATGATTTTCTGGATGTTATACATCTAAATAAACATGATTTTTCCGGTTGCTATACATTTTCTTCGCAAAGTATTTTATATTTCCGATTACTTTTTGTCTTAATTTCTCATTTTTTTTTCTAATAGTCATTAAGATCAAGTATGTCTAATCAATAGAAACCAAAGGTCCGAAACTCCAGAAATTAATAGGTTAGATTTAGGGTTAGGATTGAAAATATAATTTTGAAAAAAATAATTAAATTGTTGCTAATTTTTCTGGAAATATCTACGAAATGTGTTAATAGGTTATCTATTGTCAGCCAAGTGTTGCCAGATTAAGAAATCTTAAATGAAGAATGGACACTAAGCCCCTTGACTAAAGCAATTTGCGAAAATAGCTAATTGTATTCTTTGAAATGGTTGGTGAAACATCGGCTAATTGACAATCGATTCGAACTTTATAAAATAGTAAAACTTTATAAAATAGTAAAACTTTATAAAATGGTAAATAATAAAAATTTCATTATAGTGGATTCACATATTTCTATAATTTAGTAATTTTTTACAAATTTAAATTTAGTAATATAAAAATTGTTTTCCTATTTATTTCTTTATAAATTGGCAAATGATAAACATTGCATTGTTGGTATGCATGTTTTCATAATGTTGTAAATATAAAATTATTCTTGTGAATAAGCAATCTGATAAATAGTGTTTAATATTTTTGTTGCAAATTCTTAACAAAGAAAATATATAAATTCACTTTCACATGTTTAGTGTTATTAAAATTCTACTCATCGCTTTTTAAAGCAATGAACATTGCCGAGGGAACAAAGGGGGTTTAATAGCGATGTCAAAGGAAAAAGGTCCTTTTGACACACCATTTTTTTTTTTTTTTGCGGGCATATAGGTTAAAACAGAAGACGTATTATCACTAGCCCTTTTTGCCGCTCATCTTAATCTTTTTATCCAGGTTCTAAATCAGAACTGTCCTTCCTCAAGCTGAAAGCGTGATGATAAGCATTTCTAGCAGTGAATTTTGAGCTACAAATCTTTTAACATCAAGACCATTGTTCCACCGCCATATGATTTCTTTGCGAAACTAATCGTAAGAATTGATTGTTTGCAATTATCAATTTCACGGCAGCAGACAATAAACAAGCCACATTGATGCCTGTAACTGTTTCTTATTACTTTATTCACCGTTCTTTCAGGCGAACAAGAAACACAATGATACATTATCAACAAAAAGGAAATTCATGTGATTCGAATATGCTCATTTCATACAAAATGGCGGTCGAATAAGAAGCCTTCTAAGACAGCCATTTCCTCTGCTTTCCCGCTCGCACTATCGTCTGCTTTTCTCAAGTGCAGGAACGCACATTGAAAATGGACACAGACTCGCTTGCGCATTAAACCAAACACGACTTTAATCAAAGAAAACTATAAAGACATTTCGCTTACCTGAAGTAATTTAAGCTTGTCGCGTAATTGTTCGTTTTCACGCTCAGCCGCATGCAGTACCACCTCAATTTTATGGACTTTCTTGTCGGCTTCCATTTGCACAGAAATGATGACACCTGGATTGAAATGATCAAAACAAATATTGGTTTATAAATTCGCGTAAAACTAAATTTGGTCATTGTGTCTGCACATTAAATCATTAGAACTAAACATTCCATACGGCTAACGGTATTAACTAGGTCATTTTCTTGTTTATAGTAATTATTAGTAGCGTTAAAAAACAGATTTAATTTCTTCATACTGGGGTTCAAATCACGAAATACTATAACAAGTAGAAAACATTTTTAGGAGGCGAGATTGTTTTGTGAAATTGTTATTTTTTTTCTCTAAGTACGCAACTATTTTTTGTTCTGTACATTAATAATAAAAGCAAAATTACAGTTTTACATCGAACGGTTGCAAACAGTAATTGTTACTGTTAAAGATAACGCCATATAACAGAAAAAACAACTTCTTTCATCCTGACAAGAAATTTTTACTTTAAAAACTCTTGGGTATATAATCATGCATAGCAATTTTGAGTTAGGTTAGATAGATTGATATTATGATATGTCAACCCCTGTTAGGTTACTAAATGTTTAATTGTTTATGAGGAACATACAATTACGTATGGGGGTAGATCTGACTACTGGGCAGTAATAGTCAAACAGTTTCGCCAACCATTACCCCACAACGAGGCGCCGTCACATTTGATGAACGCCCATGAAATATCTTAGCCGTGTATAGTAAACCCGTTCTAGTTATATCTAGTTATATATATATATATATATATATATATATATATATATATATATATCGACTCTCACGTCGAATTCGACGTATGAGGGTCAAGCAGATCAGTTCCAAGGAAACTGACAGCCCGACACCAGCACATGAGATTTGATTATAGTGGTGAAGGTTTTGTGGAGAACGATCCACACTTTTTGAAGGGCATAATACAGCGACCAGTTGCACTACGTGCCACAAGGTCCCTAAACAACCCTCCGCAGGTTTTGAATTGAGTTGTCCTTCTAGACTAGTTGCCATCCAAGGCTATAGAACTCAGTCTGTCCTGCTATTTACCCATATCTGGAGGGAGAAGAAGAGGATTCATATCTTTTCCAAGGGTATTAGCACGTAAGCGAATGTAATAGATTCGACTGGAATTCGAACTCGGCTCTCCGATTCCTCAATCCAAGCCGCTATCCATTACTCCACCGTGTATATATATATAGCTATTTACTACGTTTTTAAGGCAGAAATTTTGCACAAATGACAATAAAAAGCAAAGAAGCTGGTAATCGACGTGGTAACATTTTATGGCCATGCGTACTATAATAAAAGGTTCTCCTTCTATTTACAACCGAGAAACCAAATGAGTTTGGTTGACACAACTGGTATGCATCATGATCTTACATGAGCTTCTTTAAACAGGTCAGGCAATAGACTATGGCGATATACTATTAATGTAAATATTAACGATTAATTAAAAACAAAGGAAATAGTCAAACTGTGTCTTTTACTTACCGTTGATTAATCGTGTAACTCTCCACAGTCGGAGCATGACCATCAAACCAGCTGCATCTTTTGCAGCCTGGGCAACGTCAACGAACGAAAAAACAACATCGAGAGTAAAAGATATGACCACCACGAAAGCGTCGAGAACCTGGTAGAGAAGAGAAAGGACCATGTTTGAAATTGTTATTAAAATCAAATATTTGCAGTTACCGAAGAAAATGATGCGTATCGTTTATCTGTAATCGATATAAAAGAGAAAGTTTCATCTAGCATCAGCTAAGTACCAGTCTTTGAATGCCTTTTATCAATAATTTTGACAAGACAGCTACCACCCCGTCCGCATCGCAGGACTATCTAAACACAATCTGTTACGTATCGTAGATTCCGATCGAAAGATTAGCTAAACACAACCCGTTAGGCATTGCAGGCACCAATCGAAAGACTAGCTAAACACAATTTGTTACGTATCGCAGGCACCAATCGAAAGACTAGCTAAACACAATTTGTTACGTATCGCAGGAACCAATCGAAAGACTAGCTAAACACAATCTGTAACGTTTCGCAGGCACCAATCGAAAGACTAGCTAAACACAATCCGTTACGCATCCCAGAGTTCATTCGAAAGAATAACTAAACACAATCCGTTACGCATCCCAGAGTTCCTTCGAAATACTAGCTAAACACAATCCGTTACGCATCCCAGAGTTCCTTCGAAATACTAGCTAAACACAATCCGTTACGCATCCCAGAGTTCCTTCGAAATACTAGCTAAACACAATTCGTTACGCATCCCAGAGTTCATTCAAAAGACTTGCTAAACACAATCTGTTACGCATCCCAGAGTTCATTCAAAAGACTTGCTAAACACAATCTGTTACGTATCCCAGAGTTCATTCGAAAGACTAGCTAAACACAATCCGTTACGTATCCCAGAGTTCATTCGAAATACTAGCTAAACACAATCCGTTACGCATCCCAGAGTTCATTCGAAATACTAGCTAAATACAATATGTTACGTATCCCAGAGTTCATTCGAAAGACTAACTAAACACAATCCGTTACGCATCCCAGAGTTCATTCGAAATACTAGCTAAACACAATCCGTTACGCATCCCAGAGTTCATTCGAAAGACTAGCTAAACACAATCTGTTACGTATCGTAGATTCCGATCGAAAGATTAGCTAAACACAACCCGTTAGGCATTGCAGGCACCAATCCCAGAGTTCATTCGAAAGACTAGCTAAACAAAATCTGCTTTTTATTCCACTTGACTTAAACTGATGTACTCTTGTAATGTAAGCATGTTCCAACTTAAATATTAAAGTCAATCAATCACAGCTTTTTACGGTTTATCAACCTTTTTTATTATATTTAAAGCCAGAAAGACTTTTTAGATTGCAGGATTTTTTGGAGGGTGAAGATATTGGTTTAATTGGTACAAGCCTTACTATTTAACCCATAAATGGGGGAGAAGATGTGGATTCATACCTTTCTTAAGTGTATTTACGCGTTAGTAAATATAATGAACCCAACGGGAATTGGAACTCGCCTCTCCGATTAATAAAATAAGAGCCATATAAGAGCCATTATCCAAACTTACAGCACCTGGTATTCCCAAACGGTTACCCATCTAGGTACTGACCAAACTCAACGTTGCTTAACTTCGATGATCGTACTGCAACCGGTGTTTCAACGTAATGTAGCCGTATACCTTTTTAGAGTGTAAGAATATTTTGGAGATAATACAAGTCTCACTATTTAACCCATAACTAGGGAAAAAGTGGATTCATGCCTTTCCCAAGTCTATTTGCCCATAAGCGATCATAAAGAACCCGACTGGAATTGGAACACGGATTTCCGATTTTCAATCCCGTACATCCAAGTTTGGAGCACCTGGTATTCATATGCGCGCACCCATCCGACCAGGCTCAACGTTGGTGATCTTGACTTTGGTAATCACTCGAGAACTGTGGGAAACTGATCTGTTTCTTGCCATTGGGTCTAATCATCTCATGCTCTAACCAGTCTACGTAATGATGTCTGATCATGTCTACGCCACAGACGTTTTTTCCCGATGATCTTCTCAGTTTGGAGAAACGGCAGAATTCCTTCTCATCTCGCCAAGTGACCGAACAATGCTGTCGGATAGAGACAGAATCTTTGATGGTCAATTTCTTGCGTCACTGAGTTGTTCGTCTTCTTATATGTCCATTTATATTCTCAAGAGGCGTCAATAGCGCCTCTTCTCAAACGTCTTGATGAGACTAGAGGCTTTGAGCGTCCGAGTGTCTGAACCATGCCGACAAACAGACCAGATTTAACGTTTTAGGAGGCGCAGACATGTTCGTAAGTTAAGCTTCTTGTTTGCTGATAGCTTCTTCAACCTCGTGAATTGGTTTGTAAATACTCTTATCCTCTGCCTGATTTCATCGTCACAATTGGCCCTGTCTGTCATAAAGGACCCAATGTAGATGAAATATCTAACTTGCAGAATGATAATACCATTGATGTGCACGTCTAATCGCTCATAATTTCTCAGTGTTTTTTTTCTTTGAGACAATTAAAATATGTTAATATAATATTTGGGAAAAAAGTCCTGGGTATGACGATAAACTACATCCGGCAGCAAGGCCTCTGATTGGGAGATTGGAGGTTTTGGGGGAGCCTAGAACCACCTCTTAATTGCTGTTGTTCCCAGGTCCACCCTGACCCGGGGTGGTAATACTTGTTAGGATCCAAGCTATGGAAAAATACTCCCCCAAAGGAAAACACTACGAAAGTATAAAAATACATTTTAATAGTAAAAATACCAGCAATATATTTTTATATAAAATTCCAACAATACATGACCAACAATGCATTTTATATGTAGTTGAAGGACTACGATTGCGATTACGATTCAAATTATTTACATTTCGGCATTAAATAACCCAGAGTAGATGATATGCGACAAAACAAAATCAACAAATCCAACAACATAAACTCTTTCATGACATTAATCCATATAATATCCTACAATTTCTTAAAGAAATCAATCTTTATTCTAAAAATATAATTTAAAAACAACATAAAACACTATTTACATTATTCGGACTATTGTCCTCATCTTTGTCGCCATATTTACTACAACGTTTCGGTCATTATACGCTCCGGCCTTTTTCAGGTGGTTGGGATGTCGAACTGAACCCTTTATTTCTCTCAAGGACACATGGCACAGTGGATAAAGGCGTTAGTTAGATCCAGTGACAGGACCCAAAGAGTGTGAGTTCAATACCCGGTTAAGGCAGTGGAGAACTTGGGAACGGGAATTAACAGGAGATAACTGATAACTGACATCCATTAAACATGGCACGTGAAACTAGAACAGTCTAAAAAAAAAAAAAAGCGAAAAAAAGGGTTAAGTTCCAACCACCCGAAGAAGGCCGGAGCGTACAACGATCGAAACATTGGGATAAATATGGCAACAAAGATGAGGACAATAGTCCGAATAATGTAAATAGTGTACATAATACCTCATCTCAGAAATATAGACAGAAACATATCACCGCTTGCGTATCGAGAAAATTGTTTGAAAATAATTATTCAAAAAACATTTATTCGAATTGTAAATTGTTTGAATGAAAATTAATCGAAAGGACAATTCAAAAATACGTTCTTAAATAGGCGCCCAAGGGGTGGGGTCGTCAGTGATGTTATTTGATTTGGTTCACCAGGGAGTTTCGGGTCTTTCAACATCATACTCCCCATCACCAAGTCGACCCAATCAGGGAAGATCAATCCCTGATTCTCCCCACCTCTCAATCAAACGCTAACAGCTACTCTGGTCAATCAAACGCTAACAGCTACGTGGTCATTCTTCGTCGAAGTCATTAAAAAATGAATGACCACGTTTTCCGCGCACCCGATTGGATGTTTGTAACAACCAATCCGCTGCGCGAACTATCTTTTAAATGGTCCACAGTGGGGACTGGCTTCTTTTCTTTTTTTCGGTGGATAGCAGTTTCAATGGATAACCGAGGAGATAATCTTAATGTTCCTAAGTTTAACCCTTTTCCTTAAGTATTGTATAGTGTCTTACTCCAAATATTTTACTAATTATTCGAAATACCTATGTTTGAAATACGTATGTGGTCTTGCTTTGAGAGAGTCAATGTTGATATACTTAGAACTAATAACGCCCTTGAAGGATGGCATAGGACATTTTTGCATCAAGTGTCATCTCATCATCCCACAATATAGGAATTTTTTAGACGCTCTTAAAAGAGAACAGGACTTGCAAGAAATTCATATTACAAAAGTAAGAGCAGACTATCAAGAGCGTCAAGAAATACAGCGACGAAAATAGAAAACTTAAAAAAAAAGGTAGCGATATCCTTTTAACGAATACTCTTCAGTAGCGTACTATTTGCGTGTAGTATCATATACCTTAAATGTTTTCTTAACAATATTTATATTTCGAATAATTATCATTTGTGTATTTCCTCTTTTCATTTTTACATTTTTATTGCAATAAAGATTTTTGTATTTCGTTTAATTATCATTTAGTATAATTGTCCTTTCGATTAATTTTCATTCAAACAATTTACAATTCGAATAAATGTTTTTTGAATAATTATTTTCGAACAATATTCACATAATCTACCGCCTCTAGTAATTATATCCATACAAACTTGTATAGTGACTTTCCAAGCGAAGCTCAGATGTGGCACAAGGCCGAAAATGAGGATCAAACTTACTACTCAGTCTATCGAGACAAGCTTGCTAACCATTACACCACATCGAAGTACCCTCACACAAACGTATATGCACAAAAGTTGAGTAAATTTTGGCATTAAATAAGGAGTTGATATTTCGTTAACCAAATCAACTAACAAACAAATAATTTGGAAAAAAAACTTGTGGGATAATGAAATGAAATAATAATAAAGAATGAAGAAGAAATGCATTTTCACATTATGCCAGGAATAAAGAAACCGGAAAGGTAATCTGCGCAAAATGTATTACCCTATTTAGATTCTCTAAACGTCCGTTAGGTGGCGCTGCTTAAGCTCTATGAAAAGACAAACACTTCCTTCCTCTTTCTTTTTCCTTCCTCTTTCTACAAGATGTAGCAACACGAACATGAAGACGTCCCCGCTTGGAAACGTATATTTCCCCCTATCGACTGAACTTTCTTCCACCTTTCTACGCATAGCGTTGGGACGTGTTTTGCAAAAGCTCCTCCGATGAAGTAAGTTCAACCTTTACCTTGGTCGTTCCAACTCAGCGCACGGATGACCTGAGCTCGACCGTTATAACTATCGATGGAGTAAGTGCACACACTTTACTTTGGTCGTTCCAGCACAGCGCAAATCTGCCTTGAGCTCGACCATTATAACTACCGATGAAGTTAAGTTTACTTTGGTCATTCCAGCTCAGTGAAAGGAAATGGACATACTCAAGAGACTTTGAGATCTTTGTTTCTCTACAGTTTCTATGAATAAAAGAATAAACGGTTCTTGGAAGAAACCTAAGGTTTGTTGCTTCTTCTTAAATTCTTTACATGCATACACCTACAATAAACCAACACGCAACTTTAAATTCCATAAACTTATATTTAGAAATCCTCTAATAATAATAATAATAATAACAGGTACTAACATCGACATGTTTTGTTTTGTGACTTAAAATGAGCTACAATAAATATCCGGCTCAGTTCCACAGATGTGCTTCTCAGTTGCCTGCCTTTAACCAGTTGGGCATACCTCCAAGGGACTGGCATATTGTGCACATCTGTTCATGAGTGGGAAAAATTGGGGACACCATAGCTGGGTGTCAAGACGGTTGGTTCTCTTTCTTTTGTTAAGTTGGAAGGGCAAAGAAGCCAAAGCGACTTGGGAGACATAAGAACACCCTCACCAGACGGGGTTACACAACTTGAAAGCATTTGTTACTGAACCCTAACTGTAAGGTTATTAGTTGCTTTTATCAAAGCCTGATATTATATTGCACGCATTTGGCTGAGGTACATGTATTCGGTATGTACTTATCAGACTGGGTGTCATGACGGGTATATTGGACTCTGTATTATTGTACGCCAGCGTCACTTTCTTGGTGTGTTCCTCTTTCCTTCAGTAATAATAATAAATCCTTTGAAAAATAAAAACTAAAAGAAAAAAGAAAAAAAAACTTTGTGATTTCGATATCTAGGCCGACCACCTAATCCAAGCAATAAGACAGGATTTGAATATCGTGAATAAAATGGAAATTGTGACTGTCTCCACAGACCACAAAGTGATTGTGAAGGGGGCAAAAAATTTTTCCAAAATACAAGGACCTTGCCCGGGAGCTGAAAAAGATATAGAATATGAAAGTTAGAATTATACACACAATAGTAAGTATACTTTGAACTGTGCCAAAAAAAAAAATCCCACTGAAATCGAGATTGGAAATTCGAGGTGGGTGCGACAACGCAGCCCACATCGTGCCGTGTGTCGACGGATACAACTGAAAGCAATAAAGAATAAATTATCAATTAGTCTCGCACTTACGTCCCTTTGCCTCTGGGTGGCTTGTTTCACAGTCACAGCTGCTCTTCTCGCTTGACATTATAATTCAGGACGGGTAATATCAAACAAGAAATGTTTACGCATGCATATACACGGACGTTTTACATGTAAACTTCAAAAGACCAACTACATATTTTTATAAGCTTTTACTGACAGAG